TAAATAATTTTGTAAAGATTCCAATGGATAGTAAGGACAAAAGAGTATGATGTTAATTAGGGCATGTAGAAGGCCTTTTATTTTTTGCAAATACATGACCTAACAAAACATGCATCTCTTTCAAGTCCCATACCTCGAGCCACAAGAATTTTTAACTGAATGACCAGTTAAAGTTTAGCAATTTTTCTTCTGCTTTCAAGATATTACATAAGCATATTTACTGAGTAGCTTGAAGGCATGACCATCAAAGAAATACTCTTATAATGCTGTGAGGAGGTCAGATTTAGGTTGAAGAAAACAAAAACAAACCTTCTCTGCTGTTACTTAAGCCTGCTCTGACTGCTCGAAATGGATCTGTTTTTGTTTTCCTGCCCAAAGTTGCACCTTTGCACTACAATACCTCCTACTCCACAACAGACCCATTGCTCTGGCCAGTGGGCCTTTTTTTCTGAACATGTTTCTATCATCTACTGTAGGGCTAAGCAACACATGACTCATTTGACTAGGCTTTGGGTTTTTTATCCACTTTGCTGTAAAACCAAGCCTTTGCTTTATTTACTTGTGCAGCTCTTATCACAAACTTTATGAAAATTAATTGTGTAATTGTTTGCAAGCACACCATCATACCTATCCCTTCAAATTTACACATTGACTTTTGTTTATAAATGAATGCTTGATTGATAATTATAGTCATGCATTGCATAATACCATACAAATATTCACATTAATTACATTTGATGATTTTCATACAATCGAATACCAAAAAATAAGATTTACTAAGAGTGTTGCTGTGAGAGCGGAGTATTTTGAATATCAAAATGAATGAAACTTTTTGTTTTTATAAATTGGCTGGCATAAACTTTTCATTTTATTCCAACCAGCAATAGTTCCATTATTGCATATTATATCCTTCGTGCTACTGAGTCAGCATCCAAACCGTTAGTTTTTTCTTTTTTTTAAATAATAAGTTTGCATGAAACATGATCATTTTAGCCATGTTAGGAGTTATTTGGGAGGAAGCACACCAAAGACTATGGGACTTTATGAATATTCTCCTCTATAATACTTGTATTGTGTTATAATGTTTTAGACATGAGCTGGATAAAGTCTTGCACACTGATTGTCTACATGTAGAATTTAATCGATAAAAATGAAAGACTAAGAGGCAATAGGTGGCCATTTTTCATGCAATCTACAAAAAATGTGTGTGGAAATGTGTTTAAAAAAAGACAACTTCAACGGCAATAACTTTTAGGTTCCTGAAATAGCTTTAGGGTGCTAAGTATTTTAATCTTCTAAACTTTAATCACCTAATCAATCTAATTATATACTATATATTTCTTCATCTGCATATTCATGAAGGGGGGCAGTCCAGGAATATGGTACAAAACAAAGTTCTACATTTTTATTTTCAACATCATCATATGACATTGTTTCACCAAAGTTAGATTCATTACCGCAACACTATTCATCTTTCACACAGCCACAGGAAACAAAAATGTAGTTTAATCCAACCGCAGATTACTGGGATTCAAGATTTTACTACACTATGGTCTTTACCACGCTGGTCCTCATGGGAAATGTTGTCCTCCTTCAAGCGAAACAATGCAGTTTTTGTTCAGTCAGGAAGGCAAAATTGACCAAAACTGCAAGTTCTTTAGTAAAGCTTTGATACACGCAAACATTTTGAAGAGCAGACACTTTATGTTATGTAATTGCTCATCAGGAGATAATGCAGCTGAGTTAGGGGCTCATAACATGTTTTTGTCAGGGATAAATAAAACAAACATAAGTGCAATGTTTTAAACAAGTGCCTGGGTTGTAGACTATCAAGTATAGATTATCTTAACTCCAAATCCTGGAACTCATAAAACTAAAAGTTAAATTGGTGACTTGTTCCTTTGCAGGACTGATTTGTTATTAATGTTCTGACTCTCAAAAAAACACAGGAAATCTAATTTGTAGGCTGTCAGTTGGTCTTTCGATATGTAAAAAAACAAAAAGACAAGACATAAAAGCAAAGTAATATCGTTACGAAGTTGAATACTGCATTTTTTTCATTCTTGATCCCAATTTAGATGAACTATCCAAACTGAAACGCACACTCTAAAGACTTTAAAATAAATGATCCTCTTCAGTATCCATCTTTCTCCTATGAAACCGCATGAAACCGTATTTTCGGTTTGTCAATATACATAGCCAGACTGAAAAGTATGACTCCAAATTCTTTAAATAAGTAATTTAAATCAATGAGTAATAAAACCCTAAATTAGGTTTTTGATTACTATGTCATAAAGTGTATGGCTACTATTAAACTTTCACTGTTGTCATATTTTTTTAGAGAAAGCTATTTTTCTGCTTAATGTGTAAGGGTAACGACACCATTTTGTAAATAAGGACTTGGACATCCTACACAAGCCTGTTTGCTGTGGGTGGTAGGACAACTAGGAACCTTGATTATCTGCACACAAGAAAAAGTGTCTCTCATGACAAAGAAAAAAATGTCATATAATTGCAGTTAATGCATATTCTGAATGATGAATTTGCCTTTGGAAATGACTGGGCATCCCCCAGATTTGAACTTCTCATAGAGTAGGTGTGAAATTGATTGTCCAGCCAAATTATTGTACACGATCCTAATGCAACACAGGAAAACAGAGTTAAACAGAGGCATTTAATATTAATATATTTCTTACAGTAAGTGATTATTTTGTTAAATGTTAACTTTTTGTCGGCAATGCTTGATGAATCGGTTTGGCTTCGAAGGTATATAGCACAAGGTATTACTCATTAAAAGAGCACGGCACTTTATAAGTGTGTCTTTACACTTCTTTTTGCTATGTAAATAAATATATAGACATGTGTTAAAAATGCAAGAAAATAAATGTTGTGTGTTATTTTCTCGATGTGAAGCTGTAAACAGCAGATGGCCACGAAGGCCTGTTTAGCGCTATGGATTTTATCTAACTACCCACCTGAATGACCTGTGCTGAGCATGGCAGCTGATGCAGAGCGAGGAAAAAAGTGAGAGTTAACTGTTTGCTCTTGTTTACTTCAGTTCCACAAGACTGCAAGGCCAGAAGAGACATTTGCCATGCATGGAGAAATTAGTTTGTTCATCAGCGTTTTGATTTCTATCCTTCCTGACCGTCCTGCTGAAACTTTAGACGTACATGATCCATGACTGACTCCTAATCAAAAGCACAATGACAAAGTGCTTTGCTTGTGCCATTTCCATTGTTGTATAATTAAATGTTTGATGATAAGCACTGAGTATGATTAGGGAAATGGCTGTGTGATGTACATGTTTATAAAAAATAACCTTGGAACACACATCTGTCCTGTCAATTGGATATGCTCTGAAGATTACTTGTGAAATACCACACCTCATGTTGGTTGCATCAAGGTTATTTAAGGTGGAATATTGGTTTTCTTTATTTTTCCACTCCATGTTGGTGTTCCACCCTCAGACCCCCTACTGAACTTTGAAGTTCAATTGAGGACAACTCTAAAGTCCTTGAAAGGTTACAAAAATCTTTAGCCATTCATTACTGTAGGGGGCGGAAGACGGCGAGTGAGGAAATATAATGAAAACGAATACTCTTTCTAGTCACCAACCTATCTGTAGATATGTTTGATATCCCATTACAGGCCCAGAAGTAACCACAGTTCTATACTGTCAAGAGACAAACATAATCCAGAGGGAAATTACCCATCAGGAAGGCAATACTGCTACTGAGATGCAATTACCAGGCCACTTGTGAGACTTTCAGCCCAGTGTCCATGGATGAATGTGTGTGAGGGGGGTCGATATGTGCATAACAGCTCTTATGTTTAGCAGACTAAATTGGATTCTTTCTTGGAGAACAGTTAATTTAGAATATGTCCAAGATGCAAATGATTGATGTGACTATATCGCAACAACAGTGGGTTTGTAGTGCAGGGAAGTATAATGGAAAAAAACATACTGCTGCAAAAGGGGAAAAAGCTTTAATACTGGAGTGATGGAGAAGTTCTTGGAGACTTTCAGGATGCCTTACTGGTTGTAAAAAAAAAGCCAAGTCTTTGCTACATCTTCATTTGACATAACATCGCATGAGGAAGCAGGGGCTGTTCTCTTATGTGTTAGTTGTTAAATAATCTGCATGTCTCACAGAGGATTTAGTGTACCAATTTAGCACTAAATCACATAGCCTACAAACAAAGAAAATCAAACGGATTGAAATGAACATGAGTGTAAACATTTGATAAGGATTTGCCCAAGGCAATTGCTATGCTTTATTATTGATATAAAAATGTAAACCATGGAAAGAAGACCTGCCCCTGCTCTGTCCTGTTGTACATATTCTTTTACAGACTGACTAAGCTGAACAGAACATTTATGGCAATTGCAAATAGCTTCCCGTTACCCCCAAGATAAATATCTAAAGCTGAGACCGCTGCCAGCAAACTACCAATCATTTCCTTTAATTTGATAATTAATTAAAGCTGCCTTCCATGTAACCTTAGATGTAGTACAGGGGGGAAATATAGAACTGCTTTCACCTATTGCAAAGGGAGAGCATGTGCATAAGAAATAAAACTGCCTGCACAGAGTTTGAGCCAGGCATGCATAATAAATGTATGACAAAACAATACCCCAGGCACCCCAGTATTAATGATATGCAGTGAACTCATTATTAAAGTTCCAAAACAGCTCCTGGAGTAACACAGATGGAGTCAATTAAGCAATGAGCATACTTGCTTGCCTGCCGTTTCATCTTCCTTCTTTTATCTCTGGCATATTACTCCATGGATGTAATTAGCTGTGTGTTTCTCCTTACAACATAATGTCCAGTGATAATACCAGTTATTTTCTCTTGTAATTTCAAATAATACTCTGCTAATAAATGTACCAAATTTGCTTTCACAATGTCCTTGGGTGTTTCATTTACAAAGCAAGAGGTACTAGGGATAATGCTATCCTAAGCAGCTTTTTTTTCTTCTCTTTCTGTTCCCAGAGACCTGATGCCTTCTACGCTGGAGGGGCAGATCACCATGGAGAAGACACCTAGCTACTTTGTGACTAACCATGCCCCCAAGCGCATCCACTCCATGGCCAAGGACATCAAGCTTATTATTGTTGTGCGTAATCCTGTCACTAGAGCCATTTCAGACTATACACAGACCTTATCTAAAAAACCTGAGATTCCCACCTTTGAGGTTCTAGCTTTTAAGAACCGGACGCTTGGGCTAATAGATGCTTCCTGGAGCGCTTTGCGTATAGGAATATATGCACTTCACCTGGAAAGCTGGATGCAGTACTTCCCTCTTTCCCAAATGCACTTCGTAAGTGGGGAGAGGCTGATTGTGGACCCTGCTGGAGAAATGGCCAAAGTGCAGGACTTTCTGGGACTGAAACGGATTGTCACAGATAAACACTTCTACTTCAACAAAACTAAGGGATTTCCTTGTCTAAAAAAGCCAGAGGACAGCAGCACCCCAAGGTGCCTTGGCAAGTCCAAAGGAAGAACTCACCCGAAAATTGAGCCAGATGTGATTCGGCGGCTACACAAGTTCTACAAACCCTTTAACATGATGTTCTACCAAATGACTGGCCAGAACTTTGAATGGGAGCTGGAGGAGGACAGTGTTTCCCGTAGCTCTCAGGACTAGCATGGCAGTGCTGAGCCACACTACCAGCCTTTTCACTCAAACAATCTTTTTTCCAGCTTCATCTTAAGAGAGTAACTGAGCGCCCCAATCAATCATGGCTCTCCTTGTTGTGTGTTTATCCATTTAAAAGGGTTTACTGACATGCTTTTTCTTGAAGATGGCAAATGGTTATTGTGTATACTAAATATAAAGTATATTTATATTTGTGAATATGAGATGATTTATTCGTATGGATTTCAAAGCATAGAATTCATAAAAATCACATTGACAATGGCAATGCATGTGATGAGTTAAGTGTCCTTACCTCATAAGCCCTAAGGGTAAATTCTGCCCATTTCTTCTCCCTTTACTTTCCTGTTGTTGGTTGCCCTCACACCCACTCACCAGCATCCAGCACAAAAAAGATATTCTATTTCAACTACCAAGGCCATGGAGTGCTCTGTATTATTTCTTTCAATGTGGTCTTGCTCCTTTGGAAGAGTGAAAGGCAAACATATAAATTATTATTATACTCTAACATGAGTTTATCCTTTATGTTGTCCATATTCTTATTTGAGACAATCCTTTTAAGTTACCAAAGTGTTCATCTGTTACTGCTCCGGTTGCTCAGCAATTTCTGATTGCACAAAAATAAAAAACTGAATAGCTAACATACAGAACATTGGCTATCATTCAACTGTTGCATTTTTTTTTTACCGCAAAGCTAACCATTAGTATACTAAGTAAGTAAACATTTATTTGTATAGCATATTTTAGCAGCAAGGCAGCTCAAAGTGCTTTACATCACACAAAATTCGAACAAATGCGCAGTAAAATTATTACTCATTATTTGTATACAGAGAGCCATACATTACGCATATTACAGTTTTCCAGTTTTGATTTCATGAATATGTCCTTATGTTTCTTGTGTGATAACAATTCTCCTTATGTACATGAATTTTAGCCCTAAAGAACATAGCCAAATTACCATCTAATTGCTATGTTTCTATTTTCCTCATGACCCTTTTGTCACAGTAATACATGTCAACAAAGGGGAAGAACAACACCGCAGGTCCAAGCAGGAGTTTGTTACTAAACATCTGCTGCAGCACGGTCCTCTGTCATTAGAGATTAATGGTGTGTTAAATAAACTGCTGCTGCTGGAATAAAGTCAATGTCAGACAGAATTTGCTGTCAAGGTAAAGCCACATACAGGCCCAGGTAAATTGCCAAGCCATTACTGTATGTGCTTAACTTGAACGGGACCGCTTCTGTCCGGTTAAATGTGGTGTAACACGAAGTTTATCAGCAAAGATGTGATCAACAGGGTTTTGCTGTGAAATTAGCCATTTGCTCAAGCAATGAAGCACCACGATCAATCATCTTATTTTTCTGTTTTGAATAACTCGTTGTGTGTCTGTGCTTTGTCTCTGGACTTTACATCAATTGAGACAATCAATACAGTCAAAGCATCAATAAATACAGTCTGCTTCACATCACTGGTTGCTACAGCTATGATGCATTGCTCTCCTAATTCTTCTTGTTCTCTTGCCATGGACGTCTGGATTGGTTCACTCTCTGCAGACCCCTGTGTCACCCTAGGGAGGCCAACACCAGCAGCTACTTACACAGAGCAATTGATTCAATCAAAGTAAGCTCTGTGCTGCCCTTTACAGCACCAAGCCTGAACACTCACCTCAGAGTCGCGCCATTGCAGAGTTACAACTTCCACTTTGAGGCTTTTCTGTGCAGCCCTCCCTTGGTGTTTTTTTTTTTTTTCCTGACTGTCTCTGCATTTACATCATTCCCATTTCTCTTTTCCTTCCTGTCTCTCTGCTAACACTCATTCTCCTCCAAGCTTATTTTTCATGGAGGAAAGCAACTTAGTATGCACTTTACAAATAACTGAGTTGCAAGTATGACACATAGATACATTAGTATGTAGAAATATCATAATTTGTTCAGTGGCATTGTCTGTCTCTGTGGTTTAAAACATGAACTGTATTCACTACCTTCCAATCCCGATAGTTCCCCCTTAATTTAAATATGCTCAAAGAAATCCACAAACGGCCCCCCATCGTGTTATTAGGACATACGAGGGCTCAATTTTCTTTCTATGATTATGCACTTTTGCTGTCATTTGCATTTTTTAGGATTACAGGCTTGAGGGAATTTCTCTCCAAAGGGAAATTTGGGTTCAACCTCTCATTAACAAAAACGCATATGCACTGCGCCTTTTTCATTTATACCTCTGGCTTGTTTTTAAAAAAGGCACTGGAGGAAAATCCATTGAGTATTCTGACACACTGAAAACATCATAATTTGTTCTTTATTGTATGGCTCCCAAAGGGTGCCACGCCATGTTACATGGTTCAACAGTCTTTCAGGTGTCACCTTTGAAGGAGTGATTAAAAAGGACTTATTTCCAAATTTTAACTTACATCTAATCACAATAGAATTCACTAAAGGCACTCAATATGAATAGTTGTAAAGAAAAATGTTTTTATTGTTTAAATCTTGCACCGGTTCACATGTTAAACGGCTTTAATATCTAAAGAGTTGTTTAGCCTTTTCCACTCTCATAAAGGCCACAGCTAATGGGTGATATTTGAAAGAAAAAAAAAGATCAAAATAAGCTGAACTTGTGGTACTTGGTTTTGTGAATACAATTTAGAATAAAGTGTCCATACTTGTGGCAACTAATTAGTTATTGAATTCATGTAAAAGATCAATTAGCAGGTAAGTAATGGCGTCAAGTTCATCAATGTTTCAGCGCTATATTCGTTTCTTTTTTTAATGTCACTGGCATGTTTAATTAGAAATTCCAAGTCAACAACAGTAGAGAAATGACAGAACTCTCTTTTTTATTAAAGGTTTGAACCTAAAACCCTTTAAATATCCCACTGGCAAAGGCAATTATCTATCGGTTGACAGACAGACAGACAGACAGACAGACAGACAGACAGACAGACAGACAGACAGACAGACAGACAGACAGACAGACAGACAGACAGACAGNGACAGACAGACAGATAGATAGATAGATAGATAGATAGATAGATAGATAGATAGATAGATAGATAGATAGATAGATAGATGATGTGTTAATTTTTCAGTATCTGAAAGAATCTGAAAGAAATTAACAAAGATTAAACCCAGTGTAATTGAACAGACTATACCTCAAACCTCAAACACTTATTTTTTCCCTTCCTAACCAGGCTCTATATTTCCATGTCAGATTCATTCAAGTGCTGCCCTGGTTTTTGAAGTAGAAATGATTTCCTATGCATTTCATAGCTGAAACTGATGTTGACACAAGAAGTGAAGTAACCATAATAATCATTACAAAGACAGAAAGCCAAGAGGCTGAAATAATTTTATTTGTGACATTCTATCACATATGGTTTCGGTGGCCTTGGATCAGGAGTTCCTGTCATTTCTAGAGATCAGAGTCTGTACTAGAAGTAATGATTTTTATCTAATGCTTCTACCAGAGTCAGGAACTTCCCCTTTAGCCACCTCAGAAGAGAAACTGACCCTCTCATAAATCTTGACTTGGTTCTTTCCTCTCTTCTGTGATGGGTGATTTTCCCATCTCTGTTGCCCGATGGAGTTCTCTGGTTGTTTTTTTTATGTTGTAGTTAACAGAATAATTTACTATAGTCTTGCAGATATTTCAGTCACTTTTACTTCCAAAGAAGTAAAGCCAAAATTGTTACTCTAAAACAATTCCCATACGTTTGAAAATTCATATTTTCACAGTAATTTTACAAGAATACAGACTGACTTACCAATAAGTCAGTTCTTTAATAAAGCAATAAAAAAAATCTTTACATCTGTTTTTCTGTTCAAAGTAGTACTAAACAACTTTCAGTTTTGGTAGATTTTTGTTCATCCCAGTGGACAAAAGCTGTATTGTTTTGCCTGAAGGAAGACAACATTTCCCATCATAAAGACCAGCTTGGTAAAGACATAGCGTGGTAAATCCCTGGTCTCCCATCCGCCTGCCGTTGGACTGAACTTTACTTCTGTTTCCAGCGGCTGTGTGAAAGATGAATAGTGATGAGGTAATGAATTAGTGGCGAAACAATGTCATATGACGATGAAGATAATAGGTCATTTTTAACTTTTTTTCGTACCATATACCGGCAACACCACCACTCCCCCCAACTCGTCAGCAATTGATGGGGTAATAAGTTAAGATTTTTAAACATATAGATATAATGTTATTTTTTATTGGCTCACAGTAACCCTGTGTAAATCCCAGTAGGAAGATGACAAACTGCCTGATATCAACCTTGCACATTTCAACATATTTACATTCTCTAAGCAAAACTTTGTCGCATCGACTTCCGTCTTTATAGCAAAAGGGAGAAGTGACATGTGCCGTAAAGCAGTACGTCCATTTGTGTTAGTGTTGAACGCCCTGTCAGGCCATGACAAAAGTGTATCATTCAACTATTTGTACATTGACATATGATCACAAATTTAAGTTATGAAAATGCTGTGAAAGTTGAATAGTTACTTAGTGTTAGCTTATGTGTGTCACCTTTTAAGCATTGGTTTTTTGAGTGTGAACTAAATTAATGCAACATGTACTGAGATGCAGATTCAGCCAAATAGATGAATATGTTTTTTCTGTCAGCATCAATGCTCATTGTTATCATCTAACAACCAATTAAACCATAATCATCAAGAGATAATCATGTTGATAATGCAGACCAATAAATTAGCCGTATACAATTAATGTATGTTTAATGAATTTGCAAAAAATGGTAATGGCCTTCAAGGAGATGCTATGATATTGTGGATTAATCAAGTTGCAAATGAATGATATTGACCTAGTATCATCCCAATAGTTTTACTTTATTAATTCACATAATTATAGCTACAGCTCTCATTTCCTTTTTAAACCCCCAATGCACACAAACTCATTTGACCATGCTGCCTAATGAAATCTTTTCCTGTTATGTGGTAAATGTAAATCAACAATCCACAATCTAGTAATCGGGACCTACTGAAAGTGAAACATATATTTTTTTTTTTTGTAAGAGAAATTAGAATGCCACTCAAATGTTTGCAGAAGTGACAATACTGGACATCCAACTGATATTATTATCAATAACTGCATTTAAATTTAAAAGGACAGACATGCCAACAACACCACCCCCCACAGCCTGCTGGCTGATGTATTGGACTGATGAGCCAAAAAATGAATAGGCCTGAGTGACCAAAAGTACTGGAGTTTGCTGTAGGCTTGCCTGGGACTTAACATTTTACTTTCTGCCTTTGTACCGTTTCCATACTCATTCACCATAGATTCACTTTCCCTGGGCTTTACTTGGGGAAGGGGTGGCCTAGTGGTTAGGACATTGCACTTCCAGAGGTTTTGAGTTCAAGCCCCATTCCCACTGACTGTCACTCTGGGTCCCTGAGCAAGACCCTTAACACCACACTGCTGCCTAGGCACTGCACAATGGCAGCCCACGGTTCCCCAAGGGGATGGGTCAAATGCAGAGGTAAATTTCTCAAGTGTGAGATTAATAAACTTCATTTATTATTATGGCCTTATCAATGACCTAGAACTTCCTAGCTTTTAGGGGTGGGGCACAGGAGGTGCTTTGTTCCACCAGCAGCAACACTAACCAATGAAGGTAAGTGCACAATTGTTTTATATATATATATATATATATATATATATATATATATATATATATATATATATATATATATATATATATACACATAGATAGTTTGTCACAAAATGAGTCTTATTATGTTTTTAAGCAAAAGTGCACCTCAAAACTAATTTTGTCAAAAATTATATATATATATGTAAAAAAAAATAATTCAGGAGATTTGTAGAGAGCCTCAATGGTATTTTGAAGACTGGGTGTTGTTTTTTGTTATGAGGTAATAATAGGATTCATGATGACGATAAGGATTATAAAAAGTGTATATTTTTGAATTTATCTTTTACTTGAGCATTTTTTGAGTGAGAATAAATACAAAAAAAAAAACACTTTAGTGCTGAAATATTTTTGCAGCTACAGGCACTCAGTTCTTATCCATCGGGAGCCAGTGTCCTGCAGGTGTTTGATCCTCCCTGACAGTTAACAAGCCACACCTGGTCTGTATCTGCTTGGCACAAGTTGTGGCACATTAACCATCCAGAAGGATCAGTGGGTGGGTCAAAACCTTTGAGGACACTGGCCCTCTGGGAGAGGTTTGCCGGCTCCGGGCCAAAACAAGGGAAAAGCTAGAGTCCTAACATTTCTTATGTTTGAAATTCTTTATTTAATCCTTTACACAGACTAAAGTGTATAGAGAGGAAACTAAGTCTGACCACTTATGAAACAAGATTTCTTCTGAAAATAAGTACCTTGCCACATTCTGGCACATTTCAAACAAGCCATTTTATCCTTGAAACAGAGTTTTGGGTTTTGGAGTGTTTTTTTTTTTGTGGTTTGGTTTAATGTATC